TGAGAGCAAATTAGAACAATCAATTTCCATGGCTAGTTGTTGATTGGAGGAGGAGGTGGAAGTGACAGTAGGCAATCCATCATCCTCGGCCAGTCACATTAAGGAGAGCGCTGTGGAGCAGGTGGGCTGGGCTGGAGGCCAGCCACAGCCAATGGGAACGGTCGGGAGGGGAGGAGGGAGATCCATTACACCCAAATAAAGTGATAATGTAGCTGTGAAGGGGGTAAAACACAAAACAGAGGAGAAAAGAGGCTAGAGGAAGGATGACAGGGCTTCGCTTAAACTTATAACTGCTTTATTTGGGCTGCAAAGCGTGTGCTTGTGTGTGTATATTATAGTTTGTCTATCTAAATACCAGTGTGTTTGTGTGTTCTTTAGCTAGAAATACTTATATTTCCAGAAGAAAAATCCATCCAACACAGAGTACACAGACTATAGTTTCTTTTTTCATAAAGATAATCACTCCATAATGAACTGGAGCTCACACCCCACAAGGGGTCACTAAAATCTCACTTCCGCTCTCATCTCTTAAAATTTCATCAACACATTAAAGCAGTTATATCACAGAGTCATGTGCCATTTGCCAGTGCAGTGTACTGACCTTTCCACGAACACAAGGAGGCTTAATAGCTGTGATAACAATCGTGAAAATAATTATCATGACACGACTGATGACAGTCACTCTGCTTTATGGTTTTTAGATTTATAATCTGTGCCTCCTGACCTCACTCACACTCACACTTCATTTCACTAACTCAGTTTCATCACACACCCCACAACCCACAGCCATCAGTCAACAGTTAATGTCCCAGACTCCTCTTGGAGTTACTCGACCACTGCCAGAACTCTTCAATTTTAAAAATCTGAAAAAGCATTAAGTGCATTAAGTACATTTCCACCTTTTATCAGCTGGTGTAGGAGTCTTTTTCTCTAATCCTATTTCTGCTAAACGATGGCATGGGGCGAGTATATTAGATTTCATCAGCAGCCATCAATCATGGCCACACTTAACACGATCAGCTTCTCAGTTTATTCAGAGCGAACAATGGGGGACAGGCACGTCCCGCCTGCAACAGAGTAAATGAGGAATTTAAATACTGCACAAGAGACTACGGAGGCTCAGAGGGGGCTGACTGATTAAAGGCCACAATATCTGCTTTTCTAGGCAGATGATCTGTCAACTGGATGCAAGAGGAGGTTTATTGAAATAATGGGCTGCTAATGTGAGGTTATTCCGAGCTTCCTGCAACACACACAAACACATACAAACACACACACTGAGCATCCTCATTGTGACAACATGGCTGTGCACGTTCACACGAAACTCACTCACAACCACACACAGAGGCTCACACAGGCACATGCACATGCTGCATTTCCCTGCACAGCATCCCTACTGTCTGCTATTGATGGGTAATTTATCAAATGACATCTTATTCACTGCTGGGAGGAAATTAAATCATGTAGTTCCACATCCTGATTATGATCATGAAATGTCCCTGTTGTAAATTATGTAAGGGAGATGTTAATTTCTTTTCACTGCTTTTTATTTGTCAGCATCTGAGTCTCTATCTGGTTTTTCTCCTAATCATTGTGTTAATGAGCAGACACAATCAGATGGTGAGAATCGCAATAAATTGAGAAAAAAATGTCTTTGCGATATGATGCTGTGGTTTCACTTTTGATGGAAGATAAATGAATTATTCCACTTGTTCTTATCCTAAGCAGAAAAATGACCAGCATAAACCTCCGAGTCACATGAGCCTAAACAACGTAAAGAGATGAACACGCGAACTCTGATCAGAGTCTCACATTTTGTCCGTGTTCCTCAATGTGCACTCTTGACCTTGATCCAAGAAGCCCAGTGAGCAACAAATGAGAACAGGCCTGATATTCATCAAGACCCATCAAGAGACACAGACCTCAGTCTCCAAATTTACTTATAATAAAAGCAAAGATTTGTTCATCGTTTACTGTAATCAAGTGTTGCTCTTTATAACACAAACACAACAGACCAACTAACGTTGCTCTATAATAGGTGTTTTGATGCATTTAGGACTTCATTTTGATGAATTACTACAGGCCAGAGGCTCTTGTAAGTTAACTTAGATACAAAGAAATAAAAACACTGCAGCTGTGACTTTCCTTACTCTGTAGCTCCTTTGCTGCAGTCACCTGACCAGGATCACCAGCAAACATTTAAAGCTACACTAATCAATATTTTTAATTAACTATTAGGTCAGCTAATTACCTTTTACATGGCAGGGTTTGCCATGACTGATTACAACAAACTTTCTAAACTTATTTGCACTATTCATAAGTGTCCAAAAACACAAACTGAATCTAATTATTTTGTGAATTAAATCAAATGTTTGCCTTTATAGACCCTCAATTGTTTTTGCAATAGTTTTTTCTGTTCTCATGATGAAAAAAGGTATTACAAATTTATTTAATTATCTATTAATTTTGTGGAACTGGAGGCGAACAAGAGCTGGTAAGTGACACTTGAAACGTGACTGGAAAAGGGAGGAGCTCGGTGACCTGTACCAGGTGTCCATGGCCTCTCCCCTCTCTCAGCTGGGATAGGTTCCAGCCCCCTGTGACCTTGGATTGAATTAGTGGAAAAGGATGGATGGATGGATGAGAAAAGACAAGAGCTCAGACACTTGCGTTTGTGTTCTAATCCCACAAATGTTTTACACATGGCATAATTAAAAGTCAAACTGTACAAAAAGACCAAAAAAAGCTACAATTATGCTTCACAGTCATTATTAATTTGGTGTATACAAATGTATATGTATATGTGCGAACATGTATGCCAAATATCAAGTTTGTGTTGCGTAGTAAGCTTGTAAGTCTTATCGAGTGTTTTTTAGTGTCAGCACACACCTTTTCCTCATAATATTTCATTTCATTACACATTTGTTCTTTTCTTTTTTTATGGTGTCAGCCCAGTGAGTTATGTCCCTGTTCCCAGCCTAATTGATTTTATACACAAAAACAGCATGATGCCGCATAAATTTCACAGCGCTAGAAGTCATATGACACAAGTCATTTGACCTGCATGATGGTCTCAACTTGGCTCGTTGGTTTAAAGTTAGGAGCATATGTTTAAAGGGTCATTGGTTGTGTACTGGAGGAATCTATGTAGGGAATATACTATATCATACCAGGAAATATCAGCAGGGAGAAATCTGATGGAGGTTGCAAAAGGGTGTAAAGGAGGTGAAGTCGCCATCACCCCCTCCCCATGAAAAAATAAAATAAAATCTTGTGTCACTTTGTGTAGTCCATTGCTGACTAAATTCTCCACTTCAACTCACATATCCCTGTATTATTATTATTTCATTTAAACTTCTCACAGTGCATAATATACTTCATGTGATTTATCTGTGTTTTACATATTTTGTGTTTGATTTCTTCTTGTCTTCTCAGCTTTTAGTTTCTAAACACAATTAAACTGTTCTGTGCTTACAACAAACTTAAAAATGTCATTTCATTAAGTAGTCTCCAGGAGTAGCTCTCCAACTTCTTGAAGGACATCCAAAGCTGCACTTTGGATGTTGGCTGCCCTTTTTTCTGTTCTTTATCAAGATGATCCCACACTGCTTCAATAATGTTGCAGTAACGTTGTGTGTCCTTCTACACAGGTATGTTTTTACTAAATTAGAACTAGAAAATGTGTTTTAAAAATGAGAGGTGGCTCAAGGCTTTTGCATTTTTGCAAGGAACTCCATTATCTCATCTTGAAATAACCATAGACCAGGGGTCTCCGATTACTGGTCTCAAGGGCCAGTGTCCTGCAGGTTTTAGATCTCACGCTGCGTCAACACAGCTGAATCAAATGATTAGTTCACTACCAGGCCTCTGGAGAAATTCAAGACATGTTGAGGAGGTAATTTAGCCATTTAAATCTGCTCCGTTGGATCAAGGACACATCTAAAACCTGCAGGACACCGGCCCTTGAGGCCTGGAGTTGGACACCCCTGTTATAGACATTTCAAGAATCATATGTAAAGCAGATGGTACTGTGACTAAAGGCGATTAAAAGGCAACCAAACAGGTCTTCATCCATGACAGTCAGGTGAAGATCTGATGCCGAGCATATCACTTTGGTGAACATTAACTGACATTGTTTATTTGCATTTTGTGTAGAGGACAAAACTGTGAGCAGATGAAAAAAATGATGTCTACACCTGGAAATGTAGGTTTTGTGCTTGTCGTTTCTGAGTAGAATAATTATTTTTATAGAACATTTCAAATTAAAAGCCAAAAGGGAAGCAAAAAATGCAAGTCTTACTCCAAGTACTTTAATTAATCAGTAAAGGTAAGAGAAAAATCCAAACTTAATCTTAAATTCTTTTCAAACTATTTCCATTAAAGGAGGTTACAGAAAGCAACATTTATTGTTACCATAAAGCAATAAAACATAACATAGTTAAACTTCTAATGTCAGCTTTGAAAGCATCTTACTTAACCAGAAGTGAAAAGCTGCACTTATAGATTTCTGTAAAATCGTGCAGCTACCATTTGACTAGCAAGTGCTTTAGGCTTCAATGACTGGATTTTTAAAAATCACTTGTAATTAGCTGGAAAAGGGAGGAGCTCTGCTACACTCATGTGAGTGTTGGGGAGATGAAACTTACAAGATAAACGAATTTAAACAGGAAAAAATGCAAAGTTCAGTGCAACTTTGAAATTAAGTCAAGGTTAGATTTATACAACAGACCTCCAGGTGTATAAGGAAAAATAAAATCTTAAAACTGTAAATCAATTTCTTCCATCAAATTCCACGAAATTTAAGGTTTTTAAGGTAGGTTTTGTGTAATCATGTTAACTGACAAATTATTAAATAAAAATTTTTTTTTTAAAGTAAATTACTCTAATCACTCTGGGGTGTAGGATGACACTCGTGATCTTTGCTGGGGAAAGGGAAACGATAAAAGTTGTGGGATGGGCCTGCTTTGCAGGCGGTTTAACGACTGTGGAAATTCCGCCCATCAACACGACACGCCTCCTCTCCGGTACACGATCACGGCTCAAACTCTACAAATGGGGATGCGGTGAAAAGAGTTTTGAAAAGTTTTGCAGATGACGAAGAAACTCACACAAGGGGAATAATCATTTATGACTTAAATGGCGGAAGAACTGTTACAGGGAAACAATGAAAAACTCACCTCGGTAAGTGTAAGCATTTTTAAAAATTTCGATCTAATTCCTGGGTGGTATGGTCGTTTCCAGTGATCGCTTTTTATTAGTCACATGATTTTGGAATTATGTCGCGAATGCCTCCAAATCTCATTGTACAACGTTGGTTCAAGGTCATGGTTCATATAAGATGCTTACTGGGTTCCTTGGAAAACTCATCATGACACACTGAACTCGTACAATAGCACCAGTCACCACGTCATATGACATTCCAAGCATCGTTCAATTTACCACAAATCAGGTTAAAAAAAAGACTAAAGGAGACTTTAAAAGCAAAAGTAGCTTGTGTGTGTTTTTAAACGGCAAATGAGAAGTTACTCGTGTCTCATTTTAAAGTGGTGTGACATGTGAGCAGCTCCACATGAGATATTTAATCAGAATAAATTGTTGCTGAGTGGGGTGCAATGTCTCCTGTGAACTATATTTAAAAGGAGTGACAATGGCTCAGAGGAGCTGTTGACTACCTTTAGTCATAACAGACTTATGAGTCTTATCTGTTATCACTGATTGTTGTTGTACAGCTTTAAATTCTAAATAAAGTCAGGTACCTTTGATCATGGTGACTTTTTAAAACTAAACATCATTTAGCTGATTTTTCAATATACATTAACTAAACTGTAACATTTAGTCAGCTGCTTTAACATATTCATTTAGGGTAATTGTTTATGCTTCCAGTTTGTTTAGTTATGGTGAAATCTATTGGATCAGGGGTGTCAAACATAAGGTCAGGGGGCCAGAATTGGTCAAGCAAAGACTCCACTCTGACACTGAATGTGACAACGCCTGTAAGTTTTTGACTTTTAATTGTGTTTAAATAGGTTTTACAGCTTAGATAAAAATGGCCATTGAGGCAAAGTTGTTGTGATTTGGTGCTGTATAAATAAAATTGAATTGAATTGAATGAATAGTTAAACTGCTTTACACTGAAAGAAAGGGGAGTTTCACTGGCCTGGTCCACTTCACATCAAAGTGGACTGTTTGTGTCCCACAATGTCAAATGAGTTAGACATCCCTGAGACAGTAAACTCTGTTTGCAGCTTGGTTTTCCCCTCATGTGTTGCTTTGTGTTTTCCACAGCATCTTACAAAGCCTCTGCTGGCAGTGGCTTTCCTGGCCTCATTTGGCAGCTCTATGCTCTATGGCTATAACTTGGCCGTTGTCAACTCTCCTGCAAAGGTATTTTCATCGTCGTCTACATAATAAGACTCCTAGTTTTGTGATTTCATTTGCGTGCATGCTTTTCGTGAGAACTCAAATGTTCCCTTTATGGTTAAACACTGTATGAAATTTGATTCTCAATGGTTAAATAACCCATTTGAACATAACACTCCAACTGAACAAATAAATTGTCATGTGGGGTCATGTGGGCTTATGTAGCTACCTTACCATGTCATTGATACGCTGTAGCTCTTAATCCATTATGTTCCTTGGATGTTGAATTTGCCGCGGTGCGGTCATGTGTTCAGCCCCACAGAAGCATGTGAGCAGGTTCAGGGTATCGTCTCATGTTCGTAGCTCAGGACTTAGGATCAGCTAAACCTTTCATCTCCAACTTTCATTTGCATTGTTTTTCTAGAGCTTGGTATCTGTTGTTGAAACTTTATAAATATGTTTTATAGTCGTGGATTAAAGTAACAAAAATTTTATAAAAACCCTGCGTCAGTTCCAGGTCAGGAATCAGCCAGCCAGGGTGTTTTCTTAATGCTATTGTTTTTAAATATCCACAATGAAACTGTAATTGGTTTAGAGGGAGGCTTAGACATGTTGAAATGCTTGCAGATGCACTGTCTACATTAAGCTGGGCATACACTGTCAGCTGTGTATGCCCAGCTCCTGCTCAAACTCTACGATTGATTCGCAGGGGTTAGAAGTTCGTGGGTCACGATGCAGGGTCTCACACTATACGGCCCGATGCTCTGATGCGACTTGAGTGCTCACACTGTGCGTCCATAACATGAAGCTTATAAGCTTAAACACAAAATCTGTCTCTCCCTCTCTGTCTTTAACAGACACTGACACACACACCACCACCATCAACTTTGCTAAATTGCTAATGAAAAACATTGACCAGGCGGCTGCAGTTGAGCAGCAATGTCCATCCAACTCTTTTCACGGTTGGTGCGCTCGTGATAATATTGTGAGGCCACATCGAAATGCTCGGATGAGCTTGCCAAATTTCTTCAAGTTGTGCCTCCATCGCTTGTGTCCAGATCACTGCCGTGCTGCTCCGTCTTTCTACTTCCAATTCTGTTTGCGCATGCGCAGTGTGAGAGGCTGAGTTGACACCCTCACGAGGGCCGAAAGGATTTCAGACAGGTTTGATTTTCTTGCGACCATACGATTGATGATCGGGAGCTGGTCATGAGGTGTTAATCGCTTCTTGTTACCTCATGTATACTACACGATGCACGACACACGATTAAGGCGAAACTCGGGCCGATCCCCAAAAGAGTCGCACGACTGAAAAATCGGACAGTGTATGCCCGGCTTTAGAAGCTTGACATGAGTTTCATTTTTATAAAAATAGATTCACGAGATGATTAGCTTAGCTACTGGTCACGGGAGGATGGAATGAAGTCACAAGTCATCTCTCTAATGCTCTAAAACGCACACATTAATGTAATAACTATTTCCTGGCACGGCTAATTTCAAAAGACATGGAGCCAATTTAGTTGCTTCTGCTTGTGTCCTTTGTCTAAGCTAGCAATTTAGCTAGCGTAAGCCGACTCCCGACTGATATGGAAATGAGATGTGAGAATAAAGTCAATCTTTTTCTTGAGAAAAACAGAAAAATACTGGGTATTTCCCCAAATCCTGAATGCTCTGCACAGAAGTAGGGACAGCTGGAGCAGTTCAGTTCATTTTGTTTGGGTCAGTTTCTTAGTGTCAAGTGATCTAAAATTCTGTTATCTGTTAATGTTAAAATTAATGAATTTTAACATTAAAAGTTTTAACACTTCCTCAGAGCATTGGATCATCTGGCTTTGGGGTCAATGGGTTTGTACTTCCAAGATTTTGTTGTTGTGTTAACACAGACCTGAACACTCCAGACATATGACAACATTCAGAAAGTAATATTTTAGTAAGCAAGGTAATATGGAGGAGTTCTATTCTATTCTATCCAGCTCTTTTAAGGAGGAGCAGGTCAGCAGTTGAAACCTTTCTGACATCATATGATACTTTCTGTTGTTTCAATAATTTTCATTACTTTGTATAAGAAATCAATACAGAAACAAAGCAAAGGAGCAAATATAAATTTCCCTTCCTGTTGGTTATGGACACTTACTATGTTGTTACTGTCGTATGCTTCTTTATGAGATCTGTAGACTTTCACTGAGGCCTTTTTATGTGCGATAACATAGCACATAGTACAGGGAGAATTTTTGAATTGTGTCCTCTCCTGCACCTTTTCTGTATTCTTTTGAATTCATATTAATGTATATATTTAATTCATATTTTTCTTAAAATTTTAATGCAATGGATCATCCTGGACACTTTATTGAGTGAAAGGCATCACCGTCAGATTCATCAAGCATGCAGTCGATGAGTCCTTTTCAGCTTTGAATTTGACTTGACTTAAATTATTGAAGTTACAACATCAAATTTTCATTTATCAGGTCTTTTGGGGATATATTGTGACGTATCATTTATGTTTCATTTTTTGTGTCATGTCTGTAGTGTTACAGTTACGGATGCTCACATTAAACATGTTCAAGGTTTCAAAAAGTTTGATCGGCGTAATTGATAATAACTTAGTATTTGTACTATTCACAAATCCAGGCTTCCGACTGCTCTATTTCAGCTATTTCAGGCTGTTTTTGCAACTCTTGGCTCTCGTTTATGTCGGTAAGATTGGATGTATTTATTATAGTCGTCTCATGGCTTTAGATGTGAGCACAGAAGCTCCACACTCCTCTTCAAACTTTCTGTTTGCAAGGGGCAGTCGGTCAGAAGAAAGTTGCTTTAAAAGGAAGAGGATCTGGTTTCAGAGAGCTGGTTTCAGAGAGCACATGGCTGCACGAAGCTCAGTGTAAGAAAAAAACAACAACAATATTTTGAACTCTGACTCCTATAAAACTGCTGTGCTAGAATAATAAATAAAAGGCTAAATAAATATCTAAAAAAGGTAACATTATCTTTTGATTGCACACAATCTTTTTACACTGGGTTTGATTTATTTGGGGTGTTTTTTGCTTAGAAAATGAATTTACCTTGTTTTCCACCAGTACATCAAAGACTTCTACAATGAGACATTATTAGAAAGTCATGGCTTGACTCCGGATGGGCATCTTCTTACCGTCTTGTACTCTCTTACTGTGTCAATCTTTGCCATTGGTGGAATGACCGGAGCACTGCTGGTGGGCAGACTAGTTACCAAATATGGAAGGTCAGTGTGACCATGTTTATGAATTTTGAGTGCATGTTTATAAATTGCTATTAACCTGTGACAGACTCAAACTTAGAGAGCTGAGCAACGAGAATCACTGCGTCCAAACAGGAAAGGGACTCTGGTGAGATCCACTGCACTTGTTTTTATGGGCGGAGCTCTGATGGGCTTTAGCAGATGGTGCAGAATTCCTGAGATGGTCATCATTGGGCGTTTCATCACAGGAGTACATTCAGGTAGACATGCCTACTGTTCCTGGTTGACTAAAATTTATTCCAATGTCAATAATCTCCTCTTAATATTTATTACTGTTATTATTACTGTCACATATTTGTCTGTAATTAGCAGCACTTTGTGTTGTTGGTGAAAAATAGCTGTATATACATTTCCTATAATCTATAAACAGCTGAGTCATTTATGCTTTAAATTGCCTTTTCAGTTCATATTTGGTGTTTTGTTCATTTTTGCACCAGCACAGTCAGACTGTATTAATTGCACTTTCTTCGTTTCTACAGGGATTTCTCTCAGTGTGGTGCCGATGTACCTCGGTGAGATCGCTCCTAAGAATTTGCGAGGCTTCCTGGGCCTTGTTCCCAGCATTCACATTTGTCTTGGAGTTTTCATCGCTCAGGTCCTGGGGCTCTCGGCGATACTGGGAAAGGTTCTTATACTGTGATGTTTGACTGGCTTTCATAGTTCTAATATGTAATAAAAATAACATTTTGAATTGATGCATGCATTCAGAGACTCTGTGATCTACAATTGAGCAGATGCACAAAGCGTTGCAAACAATATACTTTCAGACAGAAAAAGCTTCAAGACACCCTATGTTTACTTATGGAATAGCTAAATATACAGTGGGGCAAAAAAGTATTTAGTCAGCCACCGATTGTGCAAGTTCCCCCACCTAAAATGATGACAGATGTCAGTAATTTGCACCAGAGGTACACTTCAACTGTGAGAGACAGAATGTGAAAAAAAAATCCATGAATCCACATGGTAGGATTTGTAAAGAATTTATTCGTAAATTAGGGTGGAAAATAAGTATTTGGTCAATAACAAAAATACAACTCAATACTTTGTAACATAACCTTTGTTGGCAATAACAGAGGTCAAACGTTTACTATAGGTCTTTACCAGGTTTGCACACAGTAGCTGGTATTTTGGCCCATTCCTCCATGCAGATCTTCTCGAGAGCAGTGATGTTTTGGGGCTGTCGCCGAGCAACACGGACTTTCAACTCCCACCACAGATTTTCTATGGGGTTGAGGTCTGGAGACTGGCTAGGCCACTCCAGGACTTTCAAATGCTTCTTACGGAGCCACTCCTTTGTTGCCCGGGCGGTGTGTTTTGGATCATTGTCATGTTGGAAGACCCAGCCTCGTTTCATCTTCAAAGTTCTCACTGATGGAAGGAGGTTTTGGCTCAAAATCTCACGATACATGGCCCCATTCATTCTGTCCTTAACACGGATCAGTCGTCCTGTCCCCTTGGCAGAAAAACAGCCCCATAGCATGATGTTTCCACCCCCATGCTTCACAGTAGGTATGGTGTTCTTGGGATGCAACTCAGTATTCTTCGTCCTCCAAACACGACGAGTTGAGTTTATACCAAAACGTTCTACTTTGGTTTCATCTGACCACATGACATTCTCCCAATCCTCTGCTGTATCATCCATGTGCTCTCTGGCAAACTTCAGACGGGCCTGGACATGCACTGGCTTCAGCAGCGGAACACGTCTGGCACTGCGGGATTTGATTCCCTGCCGTTGTAGTGTGTTACTGATGGTGACCTTTGTTACTTTGGTCCCAGCTCTCTGCAGGTCATTCACCAGGTCCCCCCGTGTGGTTCTGGGATCTTTGCTCACCGTTCTCATGATCATTTTGAGCCCACGGGATGAGATCTTGCGTGGAGCCCCAGATCGAGGGAGATTATCAGTGGTCTTGTATGTCTTCCATTTTCTGATGATTGCTCCCACAGTTGATTTTTTCACACCAAGCTGCTTGCCTATTGTAGATTCACTCTTCCCAGTCTGGTGCAGGTCTGCAATACTTTTCCTGGTGTCCTTCGAAAGCTCTTTGGTCTTGGCCATGGCGGAGTTTGGAGTCTGACTGTTTGAGGCTGTGGACAGGTGTCTTTTATACAGATGATGAGTTCAAACAGGTGCCATTCATACAGGTAACGAGTGGGGGACAGAAAAGCTTCTTACAGAAGACGTCACAGGTCTGTGAGAGCCAGAGATTTTCCTTGTTTGAGGTGACCAAATACTTATTTTCCACCCTAATTTACAAATAAATTCTTTACAAATCCTACCATGTCAATTCATGGATTTTTTTTTTCACATTCTGTCTCTCACAGTTGAAGTGTACCTCTGGTGCAAATTACTGACCTCTGTCATCATTTTAAGTGGGGGAACTTGCACAATCGGTGGCTGACTAAATACTTTTTTGCCCCACTGTAGGTATAAAGACAAAGATGGTAAAGATGGAATGAATAGTTTTAGATGATGATATTATTATTTTTTTAAATCAAGGTTTAGGTGAGGTCTTTGGTTTTTATTGGGGTTGTTTTTTCCCCACACAGGAAGAGCACTGGCCTCTGCTTTTGTCTCTTGTGGCGGTTCCTACCATGGTCCAGCTGATACTGTTGCCATGGTTTCCAGAGAGTCCACGATATCTGCTAATAGAGAGAGGAGATGTGCATGCCACCATTGCAGGTTAAAAAGTGCATTTCTTGCTTTCCTTTTCTGAATAACCTAACCCCTAACCCCTATTACAAAGGAAGATCAAGACGCCTAGAACAGATTCTCAAACTTTACATAATCCTTTCACTGTGATACTTGAAGGATGAATTAAAACTGGTTTAATAAAAAAGACTCCTGTTTCACTCCGTTCTGTAGCCCTAAAGTGGTTCCGTACTAAAGGAAACATTCAGGCTGAGGTTGAAGAGATGCAGGAGGAGCAACGCTCTTTGTCCTCCATGCAGACCCTCTCTGTCTGCAGCCTCCTCATGGACAGCTGTGTCCGCTGGCAGGTCCTCACTGTTGCAGTGGTCAACATCGGCATGCAGCTGTCTGGGATTGATGCCGTGAGTAGGAGAACTATTGTGTTGTTTTTTTCATCTTTTGTTTATATGTGTGTGTATTGTCACATTTTGAATGTGCAACAACTGTGCAGTTATTATATGAGAGGGAGATCTTATAGTGCGAGAGTTCCCAGCTGGGCTCCTCCCGTCCATCCATACATCACAGTCTCACACCCACTGAATGACTAAGCAGGGGGCGATGTGACCATGCCTCATTATCTCCTGGTGCTCTCCCTCAGCGTTACCTCACATGACAAGGTCCACCCATCCGAACACAAAGTCAAACACATCTTTGTACTCATTGCTTCATATGGATGGAGGCTCCAGGCATGCAGGCTCATATGCTAGTGCCATTTCGCAGCAGGGGTGCACCCCACTGAGTCTCTCAGTCCCAGCTGTTCCAGCCAGGAACACTGGAAGGCTTCAAACCTCCAGAAGAAGTAGTGTCTCCAAATCTGAGACACGAAAAGTAAAACTAAGCAATTCAAGAGAGTTTGAAAAGTAAATGTGCATGTTTTTTCTTAAAATATTGGATACTTATAATCATATTCATACAGACTGAGTTTGTGCACAACCAGATATTATTCAACATGTTACAACATGGTTCTTTTACAGTATTTGTGGTGCTGATTTTGTAGAGTTATTACAGCCAGCTGGGGAGCCACTCAACCTAGGAAAAATGATGAAAGAGCTATTTCTTCTGCAAGTACTACTGTAGCTGTACTGTCATTCACATCATAAAGTGGCAGCCCCGCTATTATTTTGTTGCTGCTCTTGCTTTGTTTTCGTTCTTCCACTTCTACACGAAGCAAGAGAATACGACAAAGCATCGACTACATATTCATAATCATAAACAAGTGAAATCATGGATAAATCGTGAAGAAGGAAAAGAAGGGACAAATAAATGCATAACTAAATTCATAAAGTTAATTTTCAGGTAACAAAATATTTTCCAGATGAATGTAATGAATGATTTCCAGTGTCTTTGTACTGGTTGTAGTGGATAATTCAGCATGAGCAAAATCAGTTCCAAATAAGAATGCTGTAATAAAACGGATAATGAGGATTACGCTCTTTGGTTGTTTTTTCTTAAGGTAGAGTAAGTTGAGACATGTGCTGAGGCTACCTGCATCTGTTTAGGATCAACATACTCCACTAAAAAGTGAACTAGGTTTTATCCACTTTTTGTAATGTGGAAGTGTAAGGCACTAGGACATTTGACACAAATGTGCTCAATGAACGGTTTCCTGAACTAGGTTGTATAAAGTAGAAGTTGCCATTAAACTATTATGTTATCAGCATCTGTCTTCTCAAGGACAGTTTCTCAAGACAGATGCTTGTTTTGGTAATACTGAAGTAGTATAGTTGGCATTGTAGCTTTGAGTAAGCCCAGAGATTAAGTCATTTTAAGACTGTGATTTTCTCCTACTTAACTTTTCCTACTTTAACTGTACATACCTCATTGTGTAAATCTAGGTTAGGTTTACACACTGAGGCATGTCAGATTAGATGAGCTAAATAATCCAAGAACACTTTTGAAATCCTGTGATTAGATGAGGCTACTTCTGTTAAACAAACAGTTTGGCCTGAAAAAGCTGAAAAAAGCTCCAGAGTGAAATGAGCCATGGCTACTTTGCTTAGCACTCTGACATCACTGCAGTGTTACTGGCTTGCACTTTAGTGCTCATGTGCGTAAAACAAAATATATGAATCAACTCATATAACACAATTCTTATATTAGAGGAGATTTTAGCTCAGTAAGGAGGCGTTTTAGCCTAGCAGCTTATATTCATCTTCATCAAATCTTATCCCAGTTGTTTAAGTTTCTGGAATTGTTTGTGCTTGTGCAGGCCTTCTGCTTTGCTCATCTGTTTGCATACTTCAAGCCTCCAATGGTGATGAAATGTTATATGTATGGTTACTAAATCAACAAGACAGCATTTAACTGCACTGATCACGATCTTGTCCGCACATCATCAATGATGGATGTTGTATCAGCAAAGTGTGATTAATGAGAATGCGCAAATTAATTTCAAGGGGAGTACTTGTCAGGAGTCCATACTGATGAAAAGCTGTATCTCAAATGCATGAGTGATGGTCGGCCTTGTGATAATGATCACTATGATGAATCGTGTGCATTACCAGATAAGCAGAGTGACTTTTTGGCTCCTTAAGGAAACAAGGCAAACTTTGATTTTTGCTGTATCAATAGTCCAAAGGATTCAACATATCAATAAACCTTGTGTCAATTTCAGATCTGGTTCTATACAAATGACATTTTTAGGAATGCAGGAATCGCAGACCCTTATATTCAGTACACAACAGTGGGAACTGGGGCCATTGAGGTCATCTCAGGGATGCTGGGGGTGAGTAGACACACACACATTAAGATGAAATGAATGTATTTCTATTATACAAGGATTTTTTATATTTTGGACTTGTAACGTTGGAACGCAGATGTGATAATGTGCTGCTGTTTTCCTGGTCTGAGATCTGTTTGACTAGTGTTAAAGCAAAAATATACAACAGAATTAAGTATATTGGGAACTTGACATAAAAAATTGCATTTTTTGTTTTGTTATGGATTTAATGGCTGCTAAACTGAAAATAGAATTAGCAGATTAATTAACCATGAAGCACTTGGGGTTGCAATAAATCTGTGCCTTGTATGACTGATGGTAACTTCAGTCTTGATCCACAAGAAAAAGAGAAACTGGGAAAAACAAATGCCTTCCCTTCTGATAAACATGTAACTTCTTACCTAAAATACTTAAAAGAAATAATGACTTTGGTTATTTTGGTTATGACATGTAGTCATGCACAGTCTGTTTTGTTTAACTTGACTGTTTCAGTTTGTGTTTTCTGTTGTCTTGGTCATGCTTGCATAAAATCTGATTAGGGGAAGGTGAGCTGAAACCTAATGAAGGTCATTTATTCTGTAGCGTGCACAGGGCCATGTTATACTCTATTGAAAATAGATATATAGATATAGATATATATATAGGCAAACGAAAGATTTGTATAATTGCAACTAACTTTTTGAAAATCTATTTTTATGGGTTAGTCACATGTAGTCCTGCTTATTTGTCCGTTATTTAGTGTTTCACTATTGAGCGTCTGGGCAGAAGACCACTGATGATTGGTGGTTTCCTTTTTATGGGACTGTGCTGTGCCGGAATCACTGTGTCTGTCCTCTTCCAGGTACATGTCATCTGATATCCTGCTGGTTTAGGAATATTTTGCATGACATTATAGTACATTACATGGAGCTTAGGACATAACCAAATTTACATAATTTACATAAATTATTGTATGTCTTCAGATGCAAAAGCCTCTAAGTGACACCCTCTGTGAAAAATGAGAAAATTATATCAGGTGAAAGCTTCACTTCAAAGCCATGCTAAGCCTCTTTCCAAACATGGTTTGCTAGCAGAAACCTCTAAATGCCACTAAAAGCTACCATGTCCACAGGAACACCAGTCAAAACACACTTATCTGTAAGATTGTTTTCAGTTGCATGTTTAGCAACTATTTCCTATGTCTCATCCAAAGAGGTGGACTGCACAAAGGATGATGCACAAATGCAAAGCAGGTTTCGCTGCAAAAGACTATCAAATTTGTTAAAAAGCATTTCATTCAGTGACCATTTCACTGCTGTTAAAGTAAACTCACTGAAGCTGAACATAGGACACTGACGAAATATTTAAAACAAAATAAAATGTTAGATAGGCTTAGAGATTTTTCCATCTGAAGTCATCATATAAATGAATAATATTAAAAAAAAACTGTGTGTGACTATCTGCAACTCATGACTTGTGTTTGACCAATCACAGCCGCAGTTGTCCTACATGCGCTACATCAGTGTGGGCTGTGTTATTGGGATTATTGCTGGCTTCTGCATAGGTCCAGGTAAAAAAAAAACAAAAAAACAATCTTGTATCTGTATCTGGCATGAAAACTTTCCAACACTTTCAAACCTACATGTGATTGCATTAGCTAGAAGTAATCCTGTGTATGAGGAAACACTGCACCCTGCTGGAAACTTGCACAATAGCAGGCATTAAAGCTTGAAAACATCAGCACCCCATCCTCCACACTCCTCCTCTGGCTGTGAGGAGATATTGTATTTCATTAGTCTTGTAAATTAGGAAATCCTAACTGCCACACTGCTTCCATTCTCACAGCCATTTGTACACTGGATGAGATGAGTGAAGTGAATTAAGAGGCAATAGTTTACAACGATGAGAGCCACGTCGAGCGAACCTGCGAGGATGATGGATTAGAACAAATCTGGTTTACATAACGTCATTCGTCAAACAGGCAAAATCTATACCTCAGCAAACAAGGATTTCTCTTGCTGCAATTAGACTTCTAATGGCTCATTGTTCATAAGCTAGCTGTGATGAATATGGTTTCCTTCAAATGAAACCTTGCTTGCACATTGATGCCCTCCTATATATACCGCAGATGTTGACAAATTATGGTGTAGTTATTGGTTTGACAATATTAAACTTTTCTCTCTGCAGTTATCATGCACAGAATAATGAGGACATTATTCGGAAAGCTAATCATTAGAGCTTATACTAATGCATATTTCTCCTTCATAGCCTTCACTTCTAACAATGAAGAATCACATGTTTAAAGTTAAGGCACATCTTAAACTAATGAATTGCATGAGCTAAGCTATTCTGTGTCTTGTGGTTCAGAAGTGGAGTTTTGCCGTCTTGACAAACACCTTCCTCTCTTGTCAGTCTATGATTAGTGAGTAATAATGAACACATAATGAAGTACATGTAGAAAAAGGAGTGTAATATAATAGCACTTGGGTTTGTGAAATGTTTATCATTAATCATCTTCTGTTAATTTTGAGTAACTGCCAAGGAAGAGTCCTGAGTGGGAGTATTGATAAAGTAATTGATGAACTAAGATGCCGATGTTAATTTCACATCACCCAATAGATTCATATAGCCATACTAAGTAATTAAATGTGATTTGTGTTATAACAGGATGCTTAGTTAGATTAAACTGTCTTCATGTGGTGTTGTTGGGAATATTTTTGGAATAAGAAAAATATGTTTTTGTGTATTCTTTACAGCGGGTGTGCCTTTCCTGATCACTACGGAGCTGTTTAAGCAGTCTCATCGACCGGCTGCGTACACCGTAGCTGGTTGCCTCAACTGGATGTCCAACTTCACCATTGGTTTTGTCTTTCCCTTCTTAGAGGTTAGCACTGACTTGTATCCCACAGAGCTAAATTCAAATGTACACAAAAGCCATCTAAATATACTGTCCAGTTTATAGTGAAAAAACCTGTAAAAAGGCTTTATTTCTATTTTTTTATTTTTTTTGTACATGTGTAGTCTTGACATTTGATGCACATCTACTGTGTGTATACGACTGGCTGTGCACTTTTGTCTGAACAGAAGTGACTCCACAAATACCAATAAAATTGCCAATTAAAAGTCCCGACCTTGCTGTCTGTCATTGTCCTCGGCTTCGTTCCAAGTGAACAGCTACAAAGTAAAGAGGACAATTAATTGTTAAGTTGACAGTGACCGAGGCAGTCAGTAATTAGTCTGGCCATAGATCTTAAAATATGAGATTGCACGTTCCTTAATCTTTCTGTTTTTATTCCACATGAAGCAAAATAACTTCATTGCTCTCAGAAAGTGTTTTAGGTCTTCAGGCTAGCAGGTACCGTCTTCCTCTAGTCTCTGGGATAAGCTAGGCTAAACACCCTGTCCTGTGTTTTTTCTGTTTTATAGCCTACCTTAGAGCTTATACCAAAACATTTCCCCTGCTGCAAAACATCACCGATTTGCTACTGATCTTACTGTCTTTTCCAGCAAAAATAATGGCAATAAGGGCAATAAAAGAGCCCCTGGCTAGTTTGGAAACCTAGTAGATCATTTACAGTTTAAAAAAAAAAAGGGAAGTACTTGCCTTAAAAATTTGCTATGTTAATGCTAATGCTATTAATGCTAACGTTAACCTTTAAGCCAACAAAACCAATAATCTACCTTTCATGTTTTGTGTCTTTAACTGTGCATTTGTATTTTTTTGTGTCCTTCCACCCCAGATTGCTACAGGTCCTTTCTGTTACCTGATCTTCTGTGTGGTCTGCTTGGGAGTGGCTGTCTATACCTTCTTCATCATTCCAGAGACCAAGAACAAAACTTTCTTGGAGATCAGCCAGATGTTTGCCACCAAGAATGAGATCTGTGAAGAAGAGCTGTATCCAAATAGTGAACTAAAAATGGCTCTGATGAACGGCTATGGAACCCTCGACTTCCATAACAAAAAATAGGAATTCAGCCAGTTGAATAGGAGCTCAACCAACACTGTCAGTGATACAGACAAGGAACTGTCAGATCAGCTGCTTCGTGCAAATTGTCACTGCATACAGTTATGGTCAGAAGTTTACATACTCTTCATGGGCATGAATGTCATGGTAATTTTGGACTTTTAATGACTCCTTTGAATTGTTCTTTTTTTAAGGTTGGAATGATTGTATGGCAAACATTTTTAATGCTTTTAGAAAATATGAACTGGGGACACAGTTGTGAATTCATGTTGTATTTTCTCAAATCCACTCAAAATTAAAAGTATGCATACAGACTCAAAAATATACATATATCCCCACTAATATTTGATTAAACGTCCTTTAGTGGGTTGGACCTTTTGTAGATGCCTTTGGTAACCAGAATTATGCTTCTGTCATAACTCGTACTGGACATTTGATCTTTCTTCTTGACAGAACTGGTAGATTTAATTTAAACTGGTTTCTTGATGTGGTAATAGCTTTTAACCATAGTCTATGGAGGAGGTGGGGGCTTTGGGAAGGCCATTCCAGAATCTTAATGTTAGCGTCCTGTATCCATTCCAAAACCAGTTTTAATGTGTGTTTGGGATCATTGTCCTGTTGAAACATCCAACTGTATCAAAGTTTTAACTGAAGAATTTGACAGTAGTTCTTCATTATCCCATCCACTTTGTGCAAGGTACCAGTACTACTGACAGCAAAACAGCTTCTGAGCATGATGCTACCACCACCACACTTAAAGTTGGTGAAGTGTTCTTAGACTTTGAAAGCCTCACCTTTTCTCCTCCAAGCACACCTCTTTTGGCCAAATTGCTCAGTCTTTGTCTAATCTAGCCATAAAACTTTTCTCCAGAAGGCATTTGGCTTGTCCGTGTAGGCAGCTACATATTTTAGTCGAGCTTGAAGGTGTCAGTTTTGGATCATCCCCAAATTCCTTTGACTTTGTTCTGAATATCGGTCAATCCAGTGAATGCTGTCAAACAAATCCTTTTTATACTGGTGAAGAGAAACTCCTAGCTGTAGTCGATCATGATCACTAACAAGAAGTTATCAGACCTTGGCCTTGTCAAGTTCAGAGATCACAGCACAAACACATCCTCTTCCAAATACACATGCATGCAAACTTTATATAGAGTAATTAGTTAGTATACCGCTGAAGAATCTTGTATAGTAGCTGCACAAGATTGCTCAGTCAATTTTTAATGCTTTATCATTTACAAGACACAAAAATACATCTGACCCTGGATTTCTTTTGTCTGTTTGTTCTTTGTGTTTTGCCTATAATAACAAGCAAACATACAAAACATTAATATGAAAAAATTCCATTCATAAACTCAGAAGTGCATTTCTACTTTAACATCAAGCCCTAAGCAGCACCTCTGAGTTAGCACAATACTTTGACTTCTTTTGGGGGCTATATTTGCTTCACATTCATTGAGCTGATGTGATGCTGGAAAAGGACTCCCACACTTAGAAAATTAAAATCAAGAGAAATATTGTGTGGCATCATTGCGTCTCACCAAAACTACCATAAAGCTAACACAACAACACTTGCAATTACAGCACGAACAAAAATGAATTATGAAAATAATACACAAATAAAACGGAGATTTTCAAACTGCAACCAAAATCATTCCCAACAGTGACATAATGGAGAAACGTTGCAAAAGGAGCTATTCACACCAAAGGGCAACAACAGAACTCAAACTTTGGCCTGAAAGGCAGGCAAATGCTGCCCAGTAAGTTAAAGCTTTAATAAAGGCAGGATTATTCTGATTCTTATTATTGGTTAATAAATCATTCATTATCTCTAGAATTTAGTGGTTTACAGATCTGCCTGACAAGTAAAGACACCCTAGTTTTATCCCGTGAGAAGACAAAAATCCCTTTGAGACTGCATCAGGAGAGGCCTCCGGTGCAACAATCTGCCAAATCAAAAAAATGCATAGCTTTCCACTTTGGCGACCACGTGTTAATAAAGTAGCAGCTGAAAGGAGCTTTATTAGCAAATAAATCATTCAACAGTAAGGTTCACAGTTCATTCTTGGGTTTGTAATAGCAGTTTAGAAAACATTGTCACCACAAGGTCTATTTAGTTGCAGATCTAATTTCATCAAATAACATCATTTTTTATCAACAGGGAGACTGTCGTACACAGCAGGCATCTAACTGCTCAATATGGGCAACAAGTGCTCAGAAAAAAACATACTACAGTACTGCATGCACTAAGGAAGATTTTTATAACTGAAGGGCAAATAAACAGACCTTACTTACTTTACAAGTGTTTCACAGATATAAGCTATTAAAAAAAATGTTAATAGCTGTCAAATTTGGCTGGTGTTTCTCCTGCAGATGGTATGTAGTTATTAAAATGAATGTTTTGGTAATGCTAGCAAGTTTAGTTAGCAACGTGCATTCACAGGCTCTATGGGTAAATTACAGATAGTTGTTAATTAAGGATAATTGTTAAATACTATAATTTTACTCAATAAAATTTGGAGTACAGACTAGAGTAAAATTACCTGCAAAGCAAGAGCTCTAAGACAGCGGTCTCCAACCTTTTTTGCGCCATGGACCGGTTTATGCCTGACAATATTTTCATGGACTGGCCTTTAAGGTGTCGCGGATAAATACAACAAAATAAAACTAGTAGCGGTACCGAAAAAAAGAAGATTTATTCATAACACACGTGAAAAGACCCAGGAAAACCGAGATAACGATAAAAACGATAACAAAATAACGCTGAAAACCGATAAAAACCCTGAAAACCATACATTTCACACCTGAGCCTCAACTCTCACGGCCCGGTACCAAACGACTCACGGACTGGTACCGGTCCGAGGCCCGGGGGTTGGGGACCGCTGCTCTAAAAGGTCTGAAACCACAAACATAACAAGGAGGTCCAGTTTGAGGACTCGAATTAGATCATATGTCTGCAGACAGCTACCAGCTATTGCTGTTTTTTCTCAATGGGGAAATTAATAAGCAAGAACAAATATTTTATTTTGTTCGTTTTACTCTAATACTGCATGTGCTAACACAGGTGTCTGTGGTGACTGACTCTCTTTTGGAGTCAACCTCAGATTTAGTTATTAAAATAAAAATTGATCTCTGGCTAATGACACAGAGGCAGCATGTATTAGTCAAAATGTTGTTATGACATTGTAAATCAAACAAAGTGTTTTATTATCTACCTCTGGTTCCGTCATTCTGCGCAAAGTGTGTCAGTTAAAATGTTACTAAAGTGTTACTAAGTTATGACCGTCTACTTTAGTCGTTCATCTCAAACTGTGTGATCATAGCGTGAAGAAGCTTTGGTAAAATGTTGCTCAGATGTACTTCTCAGTGTGTTAGTGCCATCACTGACTATTTTTCTCTGCGAGGGTCGAACATTTGCCATACCATATGACGTGCTATGGCATATTTGGGAATCATACAGTATGTTGAGAGATGGGGAGCACTGCTTTTCTTTCGCTCATCTCTTCCCTCTGCCTTGAGGCTGGCTGATCCATCTGTCAGGCCCTGCAACCCCCAGCTGAGGCAGAATGGATACACAATGTCAAATGCCTGTTTTGATATCACAGATGAGAGAAGAGGGGTGGACCGTGCCAATGTTGGAAACATCATCATATCACTGTAGGATTGGTAGAATACTCACAGCACTTTAAAACACGTCTTCTTTACTCACAAAAGCGGAAGGAAAAGTGAGGCAAACTGTGATGGAAGGTCAGGCTTTGGCGTTGTTGATTTGCTGCTGAATGGACAGAAGCGTTTCGGTTTTGCAGAGAGGCACAAGTAGGGGCAGCATGGCTGTTCATATGTAATGTCACTTTCAAACAAAGGGCTCCTTGTCACCGAGACTACAGTATATTTCTGTGGATAATGCCAAAGCATTGTGCACATGTGAAAACACACACTTACACGCAGGCTCGCTCCGCCTCGGGCTGGCAGAAGCTATAAATCAAACAAATAGCATCACAGCCTGGCGAAGAAAGCATTCCAACAGATAAAATGCTCTCCTACACAACAAAGCCACGCTCACTGCGTAATTAATTGCAACAAATTACCTCTTCCTCTCCCTGTCGGCCCCCACCTCGCTTTTTTACGGCACTGACAAGAGCGCACGCTCCTGCGCACGTGTGTGTGCAGATGTGTATGCGCACGCAGCGCACAATCTACTGCGCGCTATGGCACCGGTACGTAGACTCGCACACAAGCGCACACACGTACACACTCGGCCTGCACCCTTCATAAGTGCTTTAATGTGGCTTATTGCAGTGTGCGGTCCCCTTAGCCGTGGAAATATTCGCTTGACGGATGTGCTTTGTCGCCGGCGCTCCCCGGCGGAGGGCGGCTGTCAGGGAGGAGATGATAACATTAACAGGGAGGCAAGGCGATGACAAATGCCTGTTATCAGCGAACGAGGCCGGTGACAAATCGAACGGCAGCGCCCAAGCAGCCCCGGCGCGGCGTAATAAAAAAGAAGATGGATGGCACACCCAGGCAGGGCCCGCGTTAATGCGATTTCCACTGCTCTCCCTGACTCCCAATTAAGGCTGGGGGTGGTGGTGGTGGTAGAGCGCGGGAGAGAGGAGACAGAGACTGTGCGCCTCGTGAGTGTGAGGAAGGAGGGAAGCTAAAGATGGGAGGAGGGAAGACTGCAATGGAGATGAGAAGAAGTTAAAAAAAAAACAGTGGGGATGGGTAGAACTGACAGGAAGGAGAAATTCTGCAGACATATAAAGAGGATAGCTGTCACTAAGGATGGGGTGAGGGACAGGAACAAAGTGGAAGAATAACAACACAACATGCAGCATTAATTGCCTGCAGACCCCATCTGCTCCCTCTCATCTTCTTCTCCTCGATTTTATTCACATCTCAATCAGGGCCGTGTCTCACAGGTACAGCGTTGTTTTGTGTCTTTGCAGCCAGGTGGAACATCATTAGAGTTTTTCTAACAGCGACAGTAATGAACATAACCCGACACAGCATTAGAATAAAAAATAACTGGATAAATTCTCGCTTTAACCTCCTATCAGGGGCACCGCATGCTCCCGTGGTTTCCTGTTGGCCCAGGATTCAAGGGCTGCACCCTAAATCAGTGCTTATAAAAACAGAACTGACAGACAGCCCATGGCGTATAAGCAGACAGAGCTATACAGATGAGCTACGACTCTGTCCAGGATGACTGTTCCAACTCATCCTGTCCAAGGACCCAGATGTTATCTCTTTACTAAAAGGATCAGCTCAGGATATTGAGAAATTGCTTCAGGATAAGGGGGCATCTGTGCCCGAATACCCAAGGGCTGCTGTTTTGTCACTCTGACAGTGTTTTATAAAAGGCTGAGGAAGCTCAGAAGGCTGCAGAAACAAGCCTCATATATCTCCCGCTATTACACCCAGGCTAGAAAGAGAGGGCTGAAATGACAATGAAATATAGCCTTGGCTCAAAGGGAGAAAAAGAACAGGGTCTAAAGAGGGACAGCTGAGTCTCCCCAGGAGCCTGAAAGGGGCTGTGCTCCAAATCAGAGACAGATGCACAGCAGTCAGACACCAACCCTGTGCTATACTGCAAGTGCACAGAGGTGAAAAGGAGACGATATGTGGTTCAGAGAGGGAGGTCCTCAGAGAGAGC